TGTAATCGTCCCTCGTGTCTTCGCCCAGTCGCTTCACCGCCCCAAACAAAAACTGAGTCAACAAAACCACCTGCATCCACCTGGTATGCAACACATCTCGCAAACTCTATAAGAACCAAAAGGGAATGGATCCGCACCTTTTCATGGTCCGGACTTTCCCTTGCCTTGACCTAACCAAGTTTAGGACTGCGCTGATCCCCTTCCATCTCGCGCTGCCTGGTGGGTGCTGAAGCTGGGCTTTCTCTCCTTGGCAAACAGCTTGGCTGGATCTGGGATACCTGAAATAAGCCATGGATTTTTAAGGACATCTTCACAGGAGTATCAGGCCTTTGGGGCATGTTACAAGTTGTGCGAAGGAGTTGATCATGTCCAATGGGTATCTCTGTCAGGTCCCAAGTCCAAGAACTCAAGGTCGTGCATGCATCTCTTCTTGAAGCCAGTAGCCTTCTATTCCAAGAAGGAGGGGGGGAAAGGCCAAGTTCAATAGTGGATGACACAGTGCAAATCGTATTGGAGGGTGTCCAACTGCCTGACCCCCCGGGCAAAAGTGAGCCAGTGCAGAATCACTCTCGGTCGCCCAGTCACCCATTGGTTCCGAGCTCTGGGCTAGCTCAAGTGCCGACAGGATGGCGAGTGCCTTTCACGCCCCGGAAGGGTGGAGATGTGTACCGACTGTGGAATTCACTGGAACATGGGTTGGCTTTCAACTGGTGCTATTTCTTGGGGAATTTTCCAAAAGTTTAAGTAAGGTCAAAGGCAGAACCAAAGACCGACCAAGACAGGTCAGTGTGCCATAAGAAAAAGGACTCTGGGTGGCCCTTTGCCTAGATAGCGAGTAGGTAAGTGATGTTGTTTGCCACTGCTTCTTGCCGGGAGAATTCATATGCACAATCCCCAAGCACCACCCTTCTAAAAAGGTTGTGTGACGAAAGGATAGAATGCCATTGTTGTACCTCTGTTGGGGGGAGGGTTGGGGAGGAGGGGGTGGAACCTCTGGCTTCCTGCCAAACGGTTGAATGAGCAACGACGGGCCTGGGTGCAGGCTTCTTGGCCTGCCTCCTCGGTCAACCTGGGAGATCAGGAGCAGGTGGAGCCGGAAATCCAAGGCCCATGTAGCCAACAATGGGCTATTTTTCATGGTAGGTGCTTGCCGGAGAAGAATGCCCATCCGTGTTTGCTTGCTTCTTTCCTAATAATCCACGGGTCGGCCATGTTGAGCATACAAATCTCACTTGCCAAAAGGACAAGGTTAATTAAAATTACTCATGGCCCTGATTCCAAGACACAAATGGGGTGCGTGTGCATCAAACAAAGAGCATGTCGGCTTTCTCACGGGGCCTTGCGCCGCATTGTCGATTAACCACCGTAGCTGTACGCAACACAGTGCTTCTTACCCCGCTAAAAGTGAGTTGTTCCTAACCCAAGCAGAACCATCTCTACGCTCGCCCGTTTCAGCGAGTCTCAGATCCCAGATTTGGTTGGCTAGCGTATTCCGAGCTATCAGGTACCAAGCTACGCATGGCATAATCCGAATGGGATCAAGCAATGACCGTGTGGATGCAAATCGTGTACAAGAAAAAGTCGCCACACATCCGTTTGTTCGAATGTCCGTGCGTTTGTTCGCGTGTATCAAAGGCGCGCGCGTGTGCGTGCGTGCGTGCGTGCGAGCGTGCGTGCGGGCGGGCGTGCGTGAGGGCGGCGGGCGGGCGGGCGGGCGTGCGGGCGTGCGGACGGGCGGGCGGGCGGGCGGGCGTGCGTGCGTGGGTGTGCGCGTGTGTTGTGTGTTGTGTGTTGTCTGTTGTGTGTTGTGTGTGTGTCCGTGTGCGTCTGTGTGTGTGTATGTCCGTGTGTGTCCGTGTGTGTCCGTGTGTGACAGTCCGTGTGCCTGCTGTCTGCTATCCGCTACGTGTGGACCTGGGTCGCAAGAATCTAGTTGTGATGTGTTCTATATCTGTCCCTGGATGTGGTAGGACATTCTGCGAGTCTTTGTGCAACACTCTCATCCCAAACACAAAGCAGCTCTGCGAAAGTAACCATTCATGATCATGTAAGCAGGACGTGCTCCGCATGCCAATTCCGCCCAACAATGAATCCACACCAAACAACAAGCAAAAAACACACAGGCTCATGTTCCTTCTGTTCACGCAAGCATCAACTAATTAGTGTTGGTCAACCACACAACTGCCCACCTATCCCCGCGAGAGGCAGTCTGATCGAGGCCGGCACGGGCCCAAAGCCTCAGACCCACATGGACCATAGACCGACATGTCGACCGGTAGGCAAACCGGCAAGCCACCGCGAAAGCCGACGGGCAAGTCTGGCGAGCCTGTGGGTCAGATCACAACTGCGCCCAAAGGAGGCAAATACAAAGAGGTTAAGAGGTCCTTGTGATCAGCCTGAAGGAATTGAGCTGCTTGGTTTCCACCCAACACATCCATGCTGCACCTCTCAATTTGCCCTTGCACCACTGAAGCGACGGCGAGCCACCGACCCCAGGACAATCCAACAAGAATGCCACAAAAAGGCATTAACAACAAAACTAAAAGCGCCCAGCATGCTCATGATTTGCTTTGCTTGGAATAGTCACCAAGCAAAAACGACAAGTAGGTCCTTCGTGTCATGTGTGTCAGGTAAGGCCAATGACCATCTTGAAATAGTTATTCAATCAAGGGTCAGACGGTGAGGGCCTTATGCATCCTTGGCCGCCCAGCAACCCTGAGTTTGGTCCTCGTGATGCGTTTGCAGACATGATCATTTGATGCTTGCAGACCCTTGCGCTTGTCTGAAATCATTTTTGCTCCGCTTCATGTCGTTCCATCAGCAATCATTGCAACTATACATTTTGGGCTCGACACTTGTACGAGAATCCTAGCGAATGTGTCTGCAACGGCCGTCTAGGCAGGAAAGCACCTTGCTTTTGTCCAACCCAATTCAGTTGTCCGAGCTGCGCTTGACCTTTCGCAGTATGGGGGCCAGCAAAAAGTAAGTTGGGGGTCCGCAAAAAAAGCGGGCCACCCGTCTTGCTGGTTCTGAGTAGGGAATGAGGGAACCATGATCATCCCTTGTGTCCTAGAAGAACTCCTTGCGGTCCACTCCAAACCCCTGGGATTCTTCGAGCTGAGAACCAGCAAAGCCAAGGGTTCCAAGCGCAGGGCCAACAGCTCCAGGGCCGTGGAGACCAACTTCGCCTGGGCGCTCAGCACACAGCCGAAGAGGCCTTCGAGCTCGCCCAGAGCTGGATGAAGGACACCAAAGCCATGGGTTGGTTGACTTGATCCAGCCACCTTGAGGGACAAACCAGAAGATAGCTGCGTCTAGGGCTTCAGAAAATCAAATAAGTCACAATGAATACATCACGCAAAGGTCTTGAGACTGGGACGATTACCCTATGAAGCCTCCAAGGCTTCGTAACTCCAACAAACAACCGTTGCAACAAAAGAAGCCAAAACGAGGGTCCAAGCCGCAAGCTGCAAGTCAATACCCATGACAATATACTTACGTAGCTTTCTATTCTAAGCCTAGCAGCCGCCAAGACCGACTTAATCTGCTAAACCCTTAAACGACATCCCAATTCCCTAGGTCTCAATCCAAACTCACGTGCATTGCATCGCTTCCGCCCGTTTGATTTCGATCTGTGCGCCGTTGACGCCTGACTCTCGCAAGGGCCAGGCCTATGAGCAGTCGGATGAAACTTGCTGGACAGCCGACCAGCAGAAGCAACTCACAGGTCTGAAGCAAACGCAAATCCCTGACGGCGAAGCTTCGGTTTATGAAGCTCTGAATCACATAAATCACTGCCGAATTTTTTGGGGCCCAGCTGACATGCCAATCCCTTCAAAGCCCAATCTCTGACTTCCGTGCCCGCTCGTGCACCCTCGTGGTGCCCGCCTTCTGGGCGACAGGGAAGCCTTCGAAGACCTAGAGCGGTTGCGCTTCGACCCCTCTGGCAGCTCCCCAAAAAGCGCGGTTGACAACAACAAGAATTGAGGCACTGGGCCACCAAAACATAGTATGCCTGGGATACCAAGGACTAGGACTCTTACTAGCGACAGTGGTTGTGAAAACACCACGCCTCCAGCGCCTTGCCGGTCTGCTTTGCCCTGCAACTGGCAAGCAGCGCTTGGCGGCACCTAGGGCGTCTTTGGGCGTTGGGGGAACAGGCCAGGCCTCGGGAGCGACCCTTGTGTCTTGTGTGCTGGATGACATGATAAATGGAGGGTCTGACAACTAGACCACGGTTGGCCCGAAAGCAGAACATCGCAAGCGAGGTCGGCCCAACGCTGCAGGATGCGTTCTTTTTCCCTACACGAAGCATTCGTGAAGCAAGCGCGAGACAGCACCAGGCAAGGTGCTCTGCGCAAACTGGTCGGTGCAAGTTGGTCTGCGCAAGTTGCCCTACGCAAGTTGCACTGTGCAAGTTGCTCTGCGCAAGTTGCTCCGCGCAAGTTGCTCCGGCAAGTTGGTCCCTGCAAGTGGCTCCCTGCAAGTTGCTCTGTGCAAATTGCGCTCCCTGCAAGTTGCTCTGTGCAAGCTGCTCTGTGCAAGTTGCTCTGTGCAAGTTGCTCTGCGTAAGTTGCTCTGCGCAAGTTGCTCTAGGCAAGGCGCTCTGCGCAAACTGGTCGGTGCAAGTTGGTCTGCGCAAGTTGCTCTGTGCAACTTGCTCTGCGCAAGTTGCTCTGCGCAAGTTGCTTTAAAATGCAAGTTGCATCTTGCGACGCCCGCCCGCGGACCAGGGAGGAATCGAACCCGCGACCCGCCGGTTCCGGGAGCAGGCGCGCGAACCACGAGACAACTCCCGAAGACCAGTTCGAACAACAAAAGTCGCAAAAACCTCGAGTTTTTGCACCTCCACCACGCCGATTCCCGCAGAGGGTTGCGCGAGCACCGCAGAAATCGCAAAAAACCATGGGTTTTTGCACCTCGACCACGCCGATCCCCGCAGAGGGTCGCGCGAGCACCGCAGAAATCGCAAAAAACCATGGGTTTTTGCACCTCGACCACGCCGATCCCCGCAGAGGGTCGCGCGAGCAGGCAGAAATCGCAAAAAACCATGGGTTTTTGCACCTCGACCACGCCGATCCCCGCAGAGGGTCGCGCGAGCACCGCAGAAATCGCAAAAAACCATGGGTTTTTGCACCTCGACCACGCCGATCCCCGCAGAGGGTCGCGCGAGCAGCGCAGGAATCGCAAAAAGCCATGGGTTTTTGCACCTCGACCACACGATCCCCGCAGAGGGTCGCGCGAGCAGGTTAGAAATCGCAAAAAACCATGGGTTTTTGCACCTCGACCACGCCGATCCCCGCAGAGGGTCGCGCGAGCAGCGCAGAAATCGCAAAAAACCATGGGTTTTACCTCGACCACGCCGATCCCCGCAGAGGGTCGCGCGAGCAGGATAGAAATCGCAAAAAACCATGGGTTTTTGCACCTCGACCACGCCGATCCCCGCAGAGGGTCGATTTTCGTGTAGTGTCGTCGGCACTACCCCGCCGCCCTAAGAAGAGATTTTAACTCCTCGCAAGTCAATTGCACTTGACTCCTTGCACTTGCAACTTGCACTTGACTCCTTGCTTGTTTCAAGGAGTCATTGCAAGGAGTCATTGCAAGGAGTCATTGCAAGGAGTCATGGCAAGGAGTCATTGCAAGGAGTCATTGCATTGCAAGGAGTCATTGCAAGGAGTCATTGCAAGGAGTCATTGCAAGGAGTCATTGCAAGGAGTCATGAGAGCCATTGCAAGTTGCAAGGAGCCAAGTGCATGGAGTCAAGTGCAAGTCGCAAGTGCACGGAGTTAAGTGCAAGTTGCAAGTGCAAGGGGCCAAGTGCAAGGAGCCAAGTGCAAGGAGCCAAGTGCATGGAGTCAAGTGCAAGTTGCAAGTGCATGGAGTCAAGTTGCAAGTGCAAGGAGTCAAGTGCAAGTTGCAAGTGCAAGGAGTCAAGTGCAAGTTGCAATCCTTGCCATGACTCCTTGCAATGACTCCTTGCAATGACTCCTTGCAATGACTCCTTGCAATGACTTGCAATGACTCCTTGCAATGACTCCTTGCAATGACTCCTTGCAATGACTCCTTGCAATGACTCCTTGCAATGACTCCTTGCAATGACTCCTTGCAATGACTCCTTGCAATGACTCCTTGCAATGACTCCTTGCAATGACTCCTTGCCATGACTCCTAGCCATGACTCCTTGCAATGACTCCTTGCCATGACTCCTTGCAATGACTCCTTGCAATGACTCCTTGCAATGACTCCTTGCAATGACTTTCATGATGATGATTCCTTGCAATGACACCTTGTAATGACTCTCATAAGAACAACTCAAGTGAACCCAGCGGAAGAACCCTTCGCCATGCTTTCGGGAAAAAAAACCTTTCTTTGCTTGGTATCCTTTTGGGAAAGCTGAACATTCTGGGCTATTTAGCACCCAGCGTGGATGGACAGAATCCTGCACCAGTTGGGATAGACGAAGACCTGCGCAGGCAGCTGGGACGAACCACCTACCAACTTCTAGCATTTGGAAGGGTGGAAGGACCATCCGGACCGGAGCCCCCTTTTGCAGGACCCTACACGGGTACCAGGCATTTGGAATAATCTCGCACCTATTGATGCATAGCCATCTTGTCTGGAGGAGTCTGTGCATTTTCAATGGTTTCACCTAAGATTGCCTTGACCTTTTCCACTTGCATCAATCGACAAACTACCAATTCGTGGTTCGAAACGGCGCTGGCGTGCTCAGTACAACCTCCTGCCAGAAGATTATTCTGCCTTGAGAGCACCTTGAGAGAGTTTCTTCTGCCTTGAGAGCAGCTTGAGAGAATTACTGTACCTGTTTTCAGAGTTGGGTCCAAACCTTGCGGGAATCTTCAGCTTTTCCCGGTACCAACATTCACATGCATCTTATGAGGTAGGCAAGGTAGGGTAGCGTAGCGTTGCGTTGGGTAGCGTAGCGTCGGGTGGGGTAGCGTAGCGTCGGGTGGGGTAGTGTCAGGTAAGGTAGGTAGGTAGGTAGATAGGCAGGTGGGTAGGTGGACAGGTAGGTAATTAGATAGGTAGGTAGGTAGGTGGGTAGGTTAGGTTAGGTAGGTAGGTAGGTAGGTATGTGTAACGTATGCAATGTACGTAATATGTGTCATGTAATGTAATGCAACGTAACGGAACGCAACGAAATGAAATGTATGTGTATATAATGCGCATATTTTGCACATTGCCATTGTAGCCACGCACAAGCACCATACATTCATGAGTATGTCTGCCCAAGCTCTGGAAACACAAGCAATTGCAAACTGGTGCAAACGTCTGTTCAAGTTGAGATAATTATCAAGTTTTGTCACCAACCATAGCTACGGGCCTTTTCAACAAATCTCATCATGGGTGTTTGGTCGCAGGCGCCGCCCCTTTTTGTGGGTCAGGTCGCCAACAGGTTTGCTGAGCTTTTGCCGGCCACATCGAACGAGAACGGGGCCCTCGCGCATTCATCAAGTAGGCGTTCTCCGGGGAGTCTATGGCCTGCACGCTGCGGACAGGTGATTCCATCTTCTGTAGTAGGTGTCACATGGAAATGGAAGCCAGGAAATGGGGAACCTTCAAAAGAGCAAATGGGAGGCACATGACCAACTCCCTGTGCAACCAGCTTGGGCATCCAAACATCAGCCGTTCGGACAGGGACGGTTTACAACGTGGTTGACCTTGCATTGGCAGTGGGTTCGGCTAGAATATGCATTAGTATGTGGGCATCCCACTGAAACACAAACTGCAGAACATTGGCACTACCAAATCGGCGACAAATCAGCGACTCTCAGCAGGAACTCCAGCTCAAATGGCGCCCAACGATGCTTCTTTTGCGACAGGGCGGAGTGATGCATTGACAAATTTGAAAGCTCTGGCGTCCATACATCAGGCCAGGGCCACGCGGAACTGCAAGGCCAGCCGAGCACAGCAAGTCGGTTCTTATCACCGGCATATTGTACTTTCATTCAACAACTACCCAAGAATGAGAAAAAAAATGGGCCTAATCACAAGCGTTCTCTGGGGTGCTCAGCTCCTTCTGTTGCCCATGGCACAGCAGAATGTGCCTTGCGACCGTCTGCGCTACAGCGCAAGCGAAAGAAACCTCTGGCGCCCCTGGCGCCGGTTCCTCTTGGCAGCAGTTTGGATCCCCCACCCGTGGATTACGCCAATTGCTAACATTTCCCTGCTTCCAGCACTTTGCAGCACTCTCCAAGCAAGTCACACCTTCGATTTTTCTGAAAAAAAACGAATTAAAGGGAAATTAGTTCACCCACCCCCAAAGAACGGGTTGAAGGGAGCCACTAGGGGCGAATAGGGCGAATCCACTGATTCGCAATTTGCGTCACCCGCTGCGGCGGCCGCGCCACACACGCCGGGCGCGCGGCTCTTCTTCCGGAGGTTCCTTCTCGGGGGGGGGGAGGACAACTGACGGACCTAGGTACATTACACATAATATATAACATAGTGCAAACATGGAACCGGACAAACTAAGAGCAACCAACGCAACCGCAGCTCAAACAGTTGAAATTTGTCATTTCTATGGAGGAATCTCCTGTTCGGGACTTGGTTTTGGCTTCCGTGTCGGGATCAAGGGAGCTGGTATGTGACAGAAGGTCAACCAGACAGTTTTCTGTCCCGGGACGTGTCGGGATCAGAGAGAAAACCAAGATCAGGTTCTTTCCTGTGGCGACCGATCTAGGAAACACGTTTACTCAGCGATGGCTGATGCAATGAGGAACACCTCTGGGCTTGGGTCCTTTCAGGGAAAAAAATCGTAGCATCCCAGATTGGATCGTGAAGAACATGTGGGGTCCAAACACTGCCAATCAAATCCGTTTCACCAAATTCTGGATTAATCTAGCGTCACGAGACAGATTGTTGATTTGAGCTTGAAGGGGCTTCAGCTGATCTAAGTATCCTAACTAAGTTGGTTTGCGCATATGTGCGAATTGCTCATGCGCAAGCCGACCAAGACTTCTCACCTCTACACACAGCAGACTGGGCGAGGCTTGCTGAGCTGGCAAGGCGTTGTTAACAAGTTTTTTTTTAGATGTTGGTTTTGCTATCGGTATTGTTTCGGGTGTTGCCATCGGTGATGTTTCTGGGTCGCTTCTCTATGTGGGTAGCAAGTGTGCGTGAACCTTGCCTTACTTTGGCTGGCCTCCTGCCGCTCAAGCCGAGTGAGGCCCAGCCTTGAGGTGCAACATGAAACCCTCGTGAAACAGCGAATCTGTATCGAGTGCACCACCTCTCCTCTCCGACTCTGAACACCTGTAGAGATGACCAATATTCGTAGAACAAAGTGCAAAAACATGGCGCGCGATTTCTGCAGGCTTCCGCAGCACAGGCGTTTGTTTCCGCTCACATGTTGTGCTGCTGCGGCTTCAGCACGTGCGATGTCTGGGGTTTCTCCACTGGGTTGGTTCCTCGACTTGTTTTGCCAGTCTATGTTTCCATATAGCTGATGTCCAGCTCATGCAAGCATAAATTGTTGCTCTCACTTGAAGCTATCTTAGTGCCGCGGGTTCCCATGCTATGATTGGGGATGCAAGTGCGGCGCTGTTTGGGAGTCTGATGTGTGCTGAGTCTTGTGCCCAAGTGGCTCGGTGAATCTCCTCCTGGGCAGCTGCGGTGGTGGCAGCCTAAGCAGGGGACTGGCGCCATCATGCCTGTGAGTTGTTCCACCTTTCGGCTTCCCTCTAATTGGTGGTTTGGAGCACACGTACAGCTTCTGACATCTTCGGACAATACTGTACGTTGATGCACTATGCAAGCGCATGAACAGCCAACCTTTCGCGCCGCAATCCTTTGCTACAAATCAGCACTTAAGTTACAAACACCTTCCACGGACTGTCTTTCGCAAAAACACACTTGACAACATGAATCGAAAAAGCCTCTGAGAGCTTCCGTGTGCAAGTGCAGGACTTGCTGCCTTCTTCGGAAAGAGGAAACCAGGGACTGCGGAAGAGCAGGAACCCGAATCGTCTCGGCTGAAAAGTCCTCCGTCTTTCCAAGCTTCAAACACCTTCCCCCATTCCTGCCCAGCCAACTCTTTCCCAGTTGCTTGTTCGCCTCTCTGCTGTGTCAGGGGTGTAATCCACAGATTCCGGGCCGGAACCATTTTTGTCAAACTCCAGGGGGGGGGGCTGATTCACGTTGTGTTGGCTTTCGGCTGCCGCAGCCCCGTCCTTTGAATCACATTGGTTCAGTCATACACTGAGGCGGAGCCCCTGATAGTGACTAATGGTGACTTTCTTCAGCGTTGCGAGGCGGTGAATCAGTATTGGATTCAGACTTGACAGCCCTTTGCATTCCGAGTGCCACATAGCACCGTTAAGGCTGATTTTCCCATTTCCCCCTTTTGCTACAGCTCTAAATTAATTATCAGTATCTCAAATTCAGAGCTGGGTGGGTCTCTTGTTGAAGAACCTTCTTTTTCGGGTGCTCAAGAAGGAATCCAAAAGGAGTCCACTCATTTCATTATTTTGCGCGTCCCATACTCCCTTCAAGACAAAGCCAAACGGATCATTTGGCTCTCCCGCCTGGCGCCGCGGGGTCGTCGCCTTGGCCTTCGGCTGCGCAGCCTTCGGCTGCATCCTGCGGAGAGATGCCCTCAAAGTCCACCCATAAATCCTCATGACGCCCAAATGCAACCCAAACAAAAACCTACCCAGAAGGGCTTGGGGGTTGGAATAGGCGTTTTGTAGTATAGAATCGGGGATCGGCCAAATAACCTACAGAATGAGGGGGTACTGCCTACAAAATACACTGGTTTGTTCACCAAAGCAACTCATGCTGTGGTTTGAAGCTCGGAACCTATGTCATTGGAGGCGGCCGACATCAAGAAACATGTTGTATTGGGCTGGTTCTGAGTCCTTCCGGTGTTTCAATTGGCATGGACCTTTTGTAGGGACAATACGTGAACAACACGAACACAAACCCGATTCCTACCAAATGTCACGCAAACCAAAGCTCATGCCTACAAAGACACAACCAAGCCCAACCCCTCAACATGGCCCTCAGTACTATTCAGAGCAAACAAGAGACTTGTGCCCTTTAAATGATTGCCCAATGACGGCATCTTTTGCTCGACCCATTTTGTGCCCGAAACATTCCTACAGAACGGGCTTTCCAAACAATTGCAATACCCCAGCTGAGGCGTGATTTTTGGTTCTCTTTCTGGGGATCAACCCCAGCTGCTTTAACAAGGGAAATGTACAGCGGGTTATAAGGACTATGCCATTACAAGCAGTGCTGCTTATGAGTGTCTTATCAATGTTCTGGGTGTTCCCTACTGTCTGATTGTGATTTAACGTGGGTTTACAGTCCGGCCTTTTGATGATTAGAATGAGTTTAACTCACGGCCCCATGCCAATTATTCAGGCCCGCAAGTACGCTCCCTCTCACCAACACTGCAAGGTATATGGTTATCCGGACACAGGTGCTTTGTTTGTGGGCGAACTGACACAAACACGCACGCACAAACACTAACACAAACACAAGCACGCACAGACAGACACAGACACCCGCACACACACTTAGACACGCACACACACACAGACACACACACACAGACACGCAGACACACACACACACACACAGACACACAGACACGCAGACACACACACAGACACAGACACAGACACACACACAGACACAGACACAGACACAGACACAGACACACAGACACACAGACACACACACACACACACACACACAGACACACACACACACACACACACACACACACACACACACACACACACACACACACACACACACACACACACACACACACACACACACACACACACACACACACACACACACACACACACACACACACACACACACACACACACACACACAACACAAACACAAACACAAACACAAACACAAACACAAACACAAACACAAACACAAACACACACACACACACAAACACAAACACAAACACAAACACAAACACAAACACAAACACAAACACAAACACAAACACAAACACAAACACAAACACAAACACAAACACAAACACAAGCACACGCACGCACACAAACACAAACACAAACACAAACACAAACACACATGTCTACGCGTGTGTCTGAATGTACATATGTAAATATATATATATATATGTGTGTACATATAAATATAGATATATATAAACATGTCCGGGCGTTCCTGCACGCAGGAAGTCGGACTTTGCCAATTAAATGCTACTCTCAGGCAGGGAAACTATCCCTTTTTCGCATTTCGGTTCATGGGACCCTAACTTCCGCCAAAGCGAAAGTCTTGAAATGCACCCCTGCCTATGCCTGGGCCTCCGCCAACTGGCGGACCGCAGCGCTTCATGGCCATTCCCCCATTTTGTCCTTCCTCCGCGTCCCCCTGTCCTGTGCTTTCGCGCTCTCTCAAGCCGCAGCACGGGCTGCGCAACTGCCATTTAGAAAAAACACGCCATAAATTTGCATCTCCGCCAGGGTAAACTAAGGTAGACG